GATCCAGTTCTGTTTTCCCTTGCTGTGTCTCTTTCGCCACCTTTCATCTTTTATATAGTTCCTGTACCTTTAAAAAAAAATCTTTCATGTTGATGTTTTTTTGAAGAATGCAGCCAGTGTTTCGTAGAACACCCCACAGTTTCCACAGGAGCGGATCCATGTTACAAATTACCAGTAGGGACACTACATAAACAAAGTAGTGTCACGATCACATCAGGAGGTCGGGGTGTCCGTTTGCCCCATTATTGGTGATGTTAGCTTTGGTTTCTTGGTTCCGATGGTATCTGTCAGGCTCCTTTATGATAAAGGAAGTTTTCAAAAATCTCTTTGTAATTAATAGGTATTCCATGGGGAGATTCTGTCATACAGTGATTTAATGTCCACTGTTGACGATGCTTGCCTAAATCCTAATATTACTACAAGGGTTGCAAAATGGTGTTTTCTTAACTCTGTTGTTCTATCTACATGGATGTCAAAAAAAAAAAATTTTTTTTTTTTTTTTTTTTTTTTTTTTGGCCACGTGGCTTGTGGGATTCTAGCTCCCAGACCAGGGATTGAACCTGGCCCCTCAGCAGTGGAAGTGTGGAGTCTTAACCACTGGACGGCCAAGGAATTCCCAAATTTTCTCTTTTCTTTTATTATTTATTTCCTTAAAGAATATATCAGTATGGATTCACATTTTTAAAAAATTCAGTGTATTGTATGCCATTACTTTTAGTATTCATTTTGATGTTCAGATTGTCCCCAGTTGGGCTATCAGGAACCTCCTTCAAATGAGTTCCTGTGTCCTTTTTTGGACATGTCTCCAACATTTTTTTTTTTTGAGTACTTCCTTATTTTGTGGTACCAGTACACTTTTACTGCCCCTGCCTCAGGCTTCAAATGAGCTGTTTCTTCCTAGCTCCTGATGTAGTGGGGGTGATAGTAGAGACCAAAATCTGGGTGCTAGGTGTGCTCATTGCTGCTGGGGTGTCACTGCTCCTAGGATATTTCAGGATATGAGCTGGGAAATTACATATATTTGTAAAACAGGAGTTTATACTGACACCACAAGGGTCTTTCTTGACTTACCCCATTCTGATCTGTGTCTTCCTTCTTTCAGAATGAGATCTCCACCTCCCCAAAACATCAGTATATTTGCACATTTGCTTAACCCTACTATTCACACAGAACAACTTAAGTACTGCTACCCCTACACCACCCCCAATAAAAATCTACTAAATACAGTTCAAGATTTCTTCACAGACCTTTTTGTCTTTAAACTGAGATATATATTCAAAGTACTCTGCCCAAAAATTACTTGGATTACTACTTTCCCCCCTCCTGTGGTTGTATTATTCATCTGATATAAATTAGCTTCGTTTATTTTTGTTTGTATTCAATTTTAGTTGTTTTCCCCATCCTTGTTTTGTTTTTTTAAAAAATAAATTTATTTATTTTATTCTTGGCTGTGTTGGGTCTTCGTTGCTGCGCGTAGGCTTTCTCTAGTTGCAGCAAGTGGGGGCTACTCTTTGTTGCGGTGCACAGGCTTCTCATTGTGGTGGCTTCTCCTGTTGCGGAGCACGGGCTCTAGGCACGCGGGCTCAGTATTTGTGGCGCACGGGCTTAGTTGCTCTGTGGCATGTGGGATATTCCCGGACCAGGGCTCGAACCCGTGTCCCCTGCATTGGCAGGCAGATTCTCAACCACTGCACCACCAGGGAAGCCCCAGATCCTTGTCGATTTTATCTTTTGAATATATAAAATATTAGCATAGTTCTAAAGGTCAAAATTATGCAAAAATGTATACTCAGAGGAGTGCCACTTCCTTCCCGTCTCTTCCTTCCTATTCTCACCTACCTAAAGTAATCAACTGCGTGTTTGTTTCCCCTCCTATGTCTCTTTTTGTAAAAATAAGCAGATGCATATATGTATTTTATGTACCTTTTTTGGGCTTAAAAGCTAGCATTCTGTATACTCTTTTTAAAAAATTAGTAATATGGTCTGGAACTATCACTGAACTGCATATCTGTTCCTAGAGATCTTCGTCATCGTCCTTTCATAGTGGCACAGTACTCTGTTATGTGATGTTTTATAGTTTATTCCATTAACCTTCTATGTAAGGGCATCTAGGTCATTTCTAATATTTTGCAATTATGAATAATGCTGCAGTGAATTAACTTGTACATATGTGCTTTCATATTGTTGGACAGGTATCTTCAGGGTCAATTTCTAGAAGTGGGATTGCTGGGTTAAAGGATAAATATATGTGTGGTATTGTTAGACATGGCCAAACTCCCCTCCATAGAGGTTGCACCATTCATTTTGCATCCCCACCAGCAATATATAAGAGCTTCCATTGCCCTGCCTCACAAAGAGTATGTTGTGAAGCTTTTTAACTTTTGACGATCTGATGGATGAGAAATGGTATGTCCTCATCGTTTTCACCTGCATTTCTCTAATTCTGAGTGAAGGGGCAATTTTTTAAAACAAGGAGATCGTACAAGTCCTTTCTAAAGAGGTGACAAGGAATAAGAGATCTAAATGAAGTGACAGATACCAGGGGTTAGGATGCTGAGCTTCCACTGCAGGGGGTGCAAGTTCTATCCCTAGTCGGGGAACTAAGATCCCACATGCCATTGCGGCCAAAATAATAATAATAATAATAATAAATGAAGTGACAGAGAGAGACATGTGGAAATCGGGGGGGAAGAGCATTCCAGTTCAAGGGAACAGGGAGAGCAAAGGCCCTGAGGCAGAAATGAGCTTGTGTTCAAGCAAGAGTGGGACCTAAGTAGCAGGTGCAAGGAGAAATGGCTAGAGATGAGTTTGGCAGGTGACTCTGTAGGCATTGCAGTCCAGGGGTCAGGTACATGTTTCTGTAAAATGCCAGATAACAAACATTTTCAGCTTTACTGGCCATACGGTCTCTGCCGCAACTACTCAGTTTTGCCGGTACAGCCATAGGCTAAATGTAAACAAATGGGCGTGGCTGTGTCCCAACAAAAGTTTATTTATGGACCCTGAAATTATAAATTCATATGCCTTTTAAATTGAGATATTATAATTCACATAACATAAAGTTCATATATTCAGCAGTTTTAGTATATTCACAAGGTTGTGCAACCATCTCCATTACCTAATTTTACCACATTTTCATCACCCCAAACAGAAACCTCACTCCCTTTAATAGCTAGTCATAATCCCCCCTCCACCCCACCCCCTGGCAACCACTAATCCACTTTCTCTCTCTATGGATTTGCCTGTTTTGGACATTTCATATAAATGGAACCATACAATATGTGGTCTTATGCATCTAGCTTCTTTCACTTAGCACATTTTCTGGGTTCATCCATGTGGTAGTATAAATGCATACTTCCTTCCTTTCTTTGGCTGAATAATATTCCTTTATATGGCTATACCACATTTTGTTTATCCATTCAGTTGATAGACATTTGGGTTGTTTCCACTTTTTGGCTATTATGAATAATGCCGCTGCAAACATTCATGCACAAGTTTTTGTGTGAGCATATGTTTCCAGTTCTCTTGGGTAAATACCTAGGAGTGGAATCGCTGGGTCATACGGTAATTCTATCTTTAACACTTTGAGGAACTGCCAAATGAAATTCATATACTTTTTACGTGCCACAAAATATTCTTCTTTTGATTTTTTCAACCATTTAATTATATAAAAGCCATTCTTAGCTAGTAGGCCATTCAGAAACAGGAGGTGGGCTGGATTTAGCCCTGGGCGGTCATTGTTTGCTAACCTCTTTTGTAGGCAGTGGAAGGAATTTAGATTTATTCTGGGTGCGATGGGCACACAAATGTTTATTTGTAGGATTCTAGGGGAAGATGCTGATGAGGATTACTTGGATTAATGTGGGGGGAGGGATTTTATAGCCTCTTTAAGCCCCCCTACGTATGGCTATCGCTCTGCATGGCTGCTGTTTAAAAGAAAGTTCATTTTGAAGAAGTGATAGTTGCCTCTTAAAATTTTTCAAATCAGACCTCTCCTCTCCACCTTCTCCATGTGCCTCTATTTCCTCAGCTGTAAATGGAGATAAAAATGGTACCAATTTGAAAGTGTTGTGAGGTTTGAATGAGTTAATGCATATATAACACTGAGAATGGTGCGTAGCTTAGAGCAAGGCCTATATAAGCAGTTGCTATTATTATTATTGATGTTGTTGTTGTTGCTATTATGATCTATACAGCTTCAGCTCAGCTTCAACCTCCTTCCCTTGGAATATCACAATATCCAGTTTCTCCCTTCCAATCTCTTCCCGGAACCAATCAGCCCCAAAAGGATCTTCTAACACTTCGATCTGGCCTTGTCCTTCCTCTGCTTCAGACCATCCATGGCTCCCTAGTGCCCTTGGCATTGATGCCAAGCTCCTCAGCCTGGCATCGAGCCTCATCATGGCAATGCCCCTGCCCCCTTCTCTGGCCTGATTTCTTGTGGCTGTGGTCCATGTTTTAGCTACGTGGAGGGATCAGTTCATTGTTCCCCCTCCAGCTCTTTGCCCATGCTGTTCCCTCTGCCCTGCCTGGAGTGGTATAATGATAAACCCTAATTCTTCCCTGGGCCTCATCCTTTAGGACTTCGACAAAGTCATGCTTCCAGGAAGCTTTCCTTGACTCCCTCCACCCTTGCCCCAGGTGGGTTTGGTGCCTGCTCTGGACCCACAGAGATCTGCGCTACTGTTTTCTTTACAGTACATGTCACCATGGATGTGACTGTTGATCAGTGTTCATGTTTGCCTGCCCCAGTTGCATTGTGAGCTCCTGGATGGCAGATTAGGGACGGGGGTGGGAGGGAGGAGGAGGCTGTTGATTTATCTCTGGGCTCCCTGCACCCAGCCGAGGCCCAGCACACAAGGAACTGCAACGGATGGAAATTTAGTCCAGGGTAGAGCAGGGAGGAGAGGGGAGAGGATGGCAGTGAGATGCAGGGGGGCTGGGGCTGGGGAAAGGGGTCCACTGCTAATGGACCAAGGGCACCCCTCTGCTCCCCACAGGCCTCTCCTTGGTGGTGGGCTTGGTTCTTTACATTTCCAGCATCAACGACGAGGTCATGAACAGGCCCAGCAGCTCTGAGCAGTATTTCCACTATCGCTACGGGTGGTCTTTTGCCTTCGCAGCTTCCTCCTTCCTACTCAAAGAGGTGATGTCTGTGGCAGACTCAGTTTTGAAT